GAGAGAGAGAGAGAGAGAAAGAGAGAGAGAGAGAGAGAGAGAGAGAGAGAGAGAGAGAGAGAGAGAGAGAGAGAGAAAGAGAGAGAGAGTCCCCCATCTTTACCGAATAAGAGACGGACCTTACTTCAACACAGATGACCAAAGTTGTGGGTGTCTGTTGGTCCCAAACTCACCAGTTGCTTGCTACTATGTATTATGTACTACGTACTCCGTTTCCTTTTTTTTTCCCCTTAACCATAACTAGCTGACCACTTTGATGTGTTAGCAATCTATTTAATTTTAAGAAGGCGAGGGGTCCTTTTGTTTTGGTTTTCATAGGTGCCCTTTCCATTGGTGGCCAAGTAAAATTTAGGATGCCATAGCAGCCATAGCAGCAGATTTCTGGGGATGAGCATGAATGGAGGGGGGGGGCTATCCCACTCTGCGGTTCTGATGCATACAGCCGGGGGGCAAGGCCCTTTTTGCGGGGGGGATTTGGGGAGGGGGGAGCGAGGATGGGGGGGGCAAGGTACTACTTACCTGGATTCCACCTCTTCGACCTTCGACTATGATGATCAATGGCTAGAAATGAAGAAAACGTCCAAGTGGACCTCCTCGCTCCAGGTTCTGTGAATGTCTTTTGGATCTGGATTCTGGAAGCTTCTTCATAGATTGGGGAATTGTGGTGCTGCTGGTCTTGACTCCAGGGTGAGAAGTCAGAGAGACTTGGCGACTGTTTCGGGGTGGCTTCTCCCAGGTTCAGACGCGGCATTGTATTGAGAGATGATTGTGGATTGAGAGAGACTATTATCAGTTTTGACTATTGCATAGTATTGCTAAGATCCAAAGTCCAAAGGGAAACAGCCCAGATCGAGTGCTAAGGCCCTCAGGACCTAAAGCAATCACGTAGTGGGAAATGTCGTCAACAATTTCGCGAACAAACAATGCAGGCTCATAATACAAACATCAAAAAAACAAACAGGCGGAAAAAAACGAAAAGAAAATAAACAATAAGCATTATAAATTTATAAAACCTTATTCGGAGTAGCTTTCGGAGTTCACAATTTTTTTTTTCCGAATTCGGTGTTTTTGCCAACTTTTTCGTTAGCAGTCCAAATGCATCGAAACTGAATACAGATATACCCTAAAGCATGTACATATCACACAAGAAAACAAACAACAACAAAAAACACAAATTCGGGGAAATATGGCAGTTTCGGTGAAAAAACCGCCGAAATTGACACCACCTATTAACCATATGTGACATCCCTCGCACCCATTTGCATATGTTACCGCCAAAATTCATGTGTTTCAGGGTGGTTACAACGAAAGACCAGCCTACTTTATCATATGCCTTCTCCATGTCCAGGAGAAGGATGACCACATCTCTGTTTTCTTTTGCGATTACCTCTACAGCCTGTAGAGTGGTGATAATATGTTCATGAATGAAGCGCCCCTTAACAAAAGCACCTTGTTCTTGTCCAGTTAGTTGTGGTAAAAGTGCAGCGATTCTTAGTGCTAATGCTTTCGCTAGTAGTTTGTAGGAGGCGTTTAACAGGGAGATGGGACGTCAGTTCCGTATATCCTTCTTTGACCCTTTTTTATATAGCAGGGAGATGACTCCCTCCAGCATTCCCGAAGGGAGGTCCTCGCCCAACAAAACAGTGTTAAATAAGTCTGTGAGGATTGGGCCCAAGGCATCCCAAAGGGCCAAGATAAACTCAATGGGGAGGCCATCTAATCCCGGGCCTTTGCCTGCAGCCATTGCCTGTGCTGCTATCTTCAGTTCCTCCATCGAGAGAGGGCGGTTCAGATTTAGAGAGAGGTGCAGAGGTATCTTGTTTTCTGAGAATTTCCAGAAATCAGAGCAGTCCCATAGATCTGTGTCAGGCTGGTTGAAGGGACGACGTGTGGTGAGTATATCGCTAAAGTACTCTTTGGCGTATTCACACATTTGTATCGTATTCTCCGCTGGCGAAGCCGTAAGTTAAAAGGGGTGTTCCAACTGTTTTAGTAAGGGTCTGGTGTGGGATTTCAAAAGGGCTTGGAAAGTATCTTTGGTCATACGATCATAGTGAATCATGCCCTTTATTCCTAACCAGTCCTTACGCTGTTCCTCGAGTTTAGTCTCATGCAACTCAAGAGCAACCAGGGCCTCCTGCCTCTTAAGATACCAGTAGAGGTCCGAGACCGATGTAGGGCCAAACCCCGATAGACTTTCGAGCCTTGGTCCTGTTTTATATGTTTTTTTTTTTTTTTTTTTTCGGTTTTTTTTTACAATATGTTAGTTAGTAAGAAGTGCACTCTACAGATTGGTGTAAAGTATGGTTAAAATGACCCTTTGGTTTTCTTATAAATGAGGGTGAAAATTGGGGGGTCGGTTAACCTTCTCTCAGGGATGTATTCCCAAGCTACCACATCTGTGATGATCAATGGTCATCGCTCAGACTCATTTAAGCTAACAAGATCCCTGCGACAGGGTTATCCTTTGGCTCCACTTTTATTTGTCATCCATCTCGAGATCCTACTCGATAACTTTAGGCTTAACCCACAAATTTCAGGCTTGAAGATTAAACAAAACGTGGAGTGGAAAGTAGGAGCGATTGCTGACAATGTAACCATCTGTGTAGAAAACTCCCCACAGGTTTTGGATCAAGTCTCTCACGTTCTTAATTCTTACTGCTCTTTATCCGAGGCTACAATTAACTTGTCCAAGTTAGTCTATTTGCTACCCTCTGCCCACCATTTGTGCGTGGACTGGGTATGAGAAGAGTACCAAGTGACTCGTCAGAACGCTTCTTGGGCGTTCAGGTGTCAACAGCCGACTGTGGAGATGTGCAAGATCGTTTACTGGAGCAGAAAGTGTTGTCCCGAATCGCCAGTCGGAATGGGCCTTTCCTTCACTGTTCATTTGGACGCGTCCTTTTGATCTCTGTGTCAGCCTTTTCGGTCATATGGTACGTCTTGACAGTCCATCTTATGAGTGACGCCGCTCACACTCGAGTGAGGGCAAGAGCAAGAAAACTGATTTGGAAACATGAGGCAAGTGAGGAACAGGGTTGCCTGAGCAAGGTGGTCTGGGACATCATTGCCACTCCGAGGAACGAAGGGGGTCTGGGACTGTTAGACCCTAAACTACAAAACATAGCATCTCTAGCGAAATGGCCAATTAAAGTTGCGCTTGGCTCTCAGGATAAGCTATGGGTTCCGTTAGGAGAGTACATGCTAGGTAAAGAATGAAATTTATCCGATCATGCAAACGTTTGGTCTTACTTCTTGTGTGACTCCTTCGTGAATAGTCGACCTAAATCAGCCTTTTGACGGTCAGTCTTACAGGCGTGGAAGCAGATCAAGCCACCTTACTATACCGAGCCCCAGCCACTTACGGAGATCTTGAATGAGAGTCTCTTTGACAATCCTCACATTGTGGATCAGTCAGGCCTACCCCTCTCTGCATCAGAAGGGCAAGGCCTCTTTGGTAGACACTGGATGGAGAAGGGCATCTTCAAAGTGCGTGATATCAGAACAACAGATAACACTGGCTGGTTAACCGCAGAAGAATTAAGAAGGAAACGTCCCCACTTACAAATGGTGCGTAAGAAGTTGCAAGTCTTGACCGAGGCTATGCCACAACACTGGAACGACCAACTGTGTGACGCCCAACCTCACACCCAGTGCGACTTCCTGTTCGGAGTGGGATGGGGGCCCGGAAGTGCGAAAAGGGGGTGTGCCAAGGATTTTAGGAAAGTGGGGGTGGAGTCCCAGGTCGGAACTGAGATCTCCTATGGCAAGTCTTAGGGACAACGGTGTAAAATGGTACGCACGGATCGTATCTGGCATTTCAGCCTTCGGGGAGGGGGCTATGGGTTCTGCCAGTGGTGTCGCCGCGGTCGGTCCCTTGTCTGGTGGATTGATGGGACACCGGGGCGGTCGTGTTGCTGTTGGCGCCGCTCGTAACAAACTTCAGAATCCGACTGGGCGGGCCGTAAGAGGAGGTTGTGCAATCACCGCTCAGCTTCGGTTCGAGTTCGGCGGATAAATCCCGAAGCTTGGCGTGTTTGGTACTGCCGACAATCCTCCGACGGTGGACTGAGCCAATAGCGAGCTATGGAATTTCACAGTACCACTGTGAGCAGGTGATATGGAAGGAGGAGGTGAAAGAGAGGAAAACTGGTAGTAATAACAACGAAGCCCGGGGATATGTAGTATTGAGTATTGTCCGTATCTGGGTAGTCCGGGCGCCTGGGGTTGCGAGTTATAGCCCAGTGGAAATCCCCCGCACACAGTCGGTCGTTCTCTGTCAGACAGGGGAATTCCGGGTTTCTTAAGTTTCCCCGTCGTTTGAGTTGTTCGCCTTCCCAGTACTCGCGGTACTCCGGATCCCTCAGTCTTTCATGATCGGTGATCCAAAAGGGACTTTCCTCGGCCATACCTGGCTAATGAATTCGATTTTTCGCATCCTTCTGATAAATTCGGGGTCGACTCATGCAGACGCGCGCGAACGCCGCGACTTGGATTTCCACGATCGCGGTCGTACGTGGGCGTGCGCATGGGCGACAGTGAATCAGGCTCGGGTTTCCTGTAATCGTATCCTACATGCCACTATCCTACTCATGCTATGTAGGGTGAGATCCAGATGTTTCATTCATATCCATACCATTCACGTGACGAAAAGGAGAGAAAAGGGGGAAAGGACAATCAACATCTCACAACGTTCTTGGTGACTTTATGACGATCAAGGATTAATAAAAACTCAAACATCTGTAGCGGGTGCTTTCGATCAGATTCAGATGGAGGATAGAATTAGACAAGCATCGCAAAACAAAATCGGGAATCCGAAAAGATCATTAATGAAGAAGAGTTCACACCCATTCATGCATACATATGAGGCAAAAGCGACAAAGAAAATTTGAGACGATTTACAAGGAAGGGTCAAAAAAAGCCGCGACAAAAGTCAGCTATAGCAGAAACCAAATTATACAGACGAGCAAAAGAAAGAACCTCATCCCGCACCCACAACCGCTCTCTCTCTCTCTCTCTCTCTCTCTCTCTCTCTCTCTCTCTCTCTCTCTCTCTCTCTCTCTCTCTCTCTCTCTCTCTCTCTCT